TACTTGGGAGGCTGAGGCAAGAGAATTGCTTAAGCCCAACAATTTGAGGTTGCTATGAGCTGTGACACTACAGCACTCTACGGAGGGCGATAAAGTGTCTCAAAAAATTAAATAAATAAATAAAATAAATAAAATAAACTGAAAAGTAGGAGAGACAATCTAATACAATTCTAGTTAATCTACTAGGCTCTCTTCCCTTCAACCCCAATTTATTTTCAGAGCTGTGCCACTGAGGAGCAGAGCCGCTAGAAAAACAAGAGCCATGTCACTCACTGGGCCCAAACAGTCCTCAGATAAAGCAGGAGACACAATTAGGCCCAGCTGGGCCTTCTGCTGAAGAGGCTCATGCTGAAAGCAGATTCAGTGTCATTCACACAAAAGCAGAGAAAAATGAAACCACTTCTGGAAATATGTTTAAAAACTGGGCAGTACTGTGTCTGGCATAATGTTCCCCCTCCTTGCTTCTAGGATAACTCCTAGGCATCCCTCTCAAGTTAAGTATCACTTCTTCAGAGAAGCTTCCCTTGCCTTTCTTGATCACCCCACTGAGTGGGTCCCAGTTAGACTCGCTCAGAGTATCCTGCAATGTCCTTCATAGCACTTTCCAGATTTTATAACGATGTACTTATTGGTGTGTTTATATGATAATGTCTGCCCCCCACCACTAGAAAAATTCTACCTTTGCTAAAAATTCTGAGAGAAAAAAAATACTGTGTTTCCCCGAAAATAAGACCTACCCAAAAAATAAGCCCTAGCAGGGTTTCTATGCATTTGTTAAATATAAGCCCTACCTGGATAATAAGACCTAGTGATGGGCAGATACGCTGCATAGCCATGCCATGCGTTTCGGCATGGAGCAGTAAGGAAGACGGGAATATCTTTTATCTGACACAGCTCCTTTCTCTGACCCGTTCACACTTGCGCAGGTGCGCATGTGCACGTGTGGTAACCGTGGTCACAGGCATCCTATTGCGCATGTGTGAATGGCTAGGGGAAAGGAGTTCACGAATCACTAGCAACAGCCCCACCAACAAGGTCGGTTCCCCCTGTCAGGTTCCAGAAGATGATGACTTAACTGTATTTGAATAAATGTAGATGATTGTATTATACTTAATAAAAATAAGATACTCCCTGAAAATAAGACCTAGTGTGTCTTCTTGAGAAAAAATAAATATAAGACAGTGTCTTATTTTCGGGGAAACATGGCATGCTTATGTAAAAAATGTACAAATTTATATATTTTTTATGTTAAAAAAATATATATATATTGGCTTGGTTGTCTGCTGCTCAGTGGTTAAGGTGCCAGCCACGTGCACCAGGGCTGGTGGGTTTGAACCGAGCCTGGGTCTCCTAAACAAACAACAACAAAATAGCTGGGCGTTGTGGCAGATGCCTGTAGTCCCAGCGACTTGGGAGGCTGAGGCAAGGAAATCGCTTGAGCTCAAAAGTTTGAGGGTTGCTGAGAGCTGTGATGCCACGGCACTCTACCAAGGGTGACATAGAGAGACTCTGTCTCAAAAAAAAAAACCCCAAATATATATATATATCGCCATTGCACCCCTGTGCCTGGCTCCACAGATACTCCATCAATTAATGGGTGCCTTCCCTCCGCTGGTAAAGGTCATTCATTACCAGAGTCAGTGGCTCTGTGCCTGTCCTAAGCTGCCTGCTGCCTGCTATCCGCTGCCCCTGGTAGTAAGTTGGTATCACTATTAGTCTTACCCTGTTCCTATCTTTCCTGGAACACTGAGCCTCCTCTGTCTTTCCCGGTTCCCTGGAGAACACATCACACCTATGTAGATGCTGCCTGCGCGCCTACGCACATGCATGGTCTAGACAACAGTTTGCTGAAAGCAGCTGCAGCACAGACAATGAGTGGGCTCAGCCTGACCCCACCCACCCCACTCAGGATTCCACTCAAGCAAATAGCACGGGAACTGCTCCAAGATGCAGGCAGACAGACGGGCAGGGAGAGGATAGAGATGCTGGCAGGAGAGGCGGCCTCCCTTTCTTGAATATCCCTCCAGAGGTAACTGAAGCAAAGGAAGCAGTGTGAAGAGGCAGGCCCAGAAAACTGGAAGCCGCTGCAGGCTCACCAGTAGCGGACAGACCACTGCTGATGTACAGGGACAAGCTGCCCCACCCTTAACTCATCCTGATTGCATCCCTCCAAATCCTCTCACTGGGGAGGCCTTCTGGGAGGGACTCTGGTTCCCCAGTGGGATCTGTGATGAGGAACTCCAGTCTCAGAAGGACACTGGGCTCAGACCCCTCCAGAGATACCTGGTCCCCAGGCTGGGGTAAAGGGTGCTACCCCAGTCTGGCTCTGGTGCTGCTATTTGCCGGCTGTTTCCTGTGATCACTGTTCAGCCTGCTATCCACTGCCCCTGGTAGTAAGTTGGTATCACTATTAGTCCAGGAATTCAGGAGTCCTAGCTTAGTCTTTGAATCTGTTAACTCTTCTATGTTCTGTCCTCACAAATTGGCACCAGTTCCTTTAGAACCTGAATTCAACAAGAAGTTGAGTGAGGCAACAGAGTGAGGGGTGGAGGCCAGAAGAGAGGCACAAGAATCTAGCCTGGTACCCCGCCTTCAGCAGGCCACAGTTGTGTTCCTTAACTCTGGAAGCAGGGGCTTCTGTTGCTTTGCCACTCCTGAGGAGTATAGGACTTCACATGCCATGGCATGCACACAGTGGAGGATACCTGATCCCTTTCAATTTGGGACAAGGGCCACCTCACCCTAAAGCTTCTGTGCAATATGAGTCCAGCTCTCCTAGCAAGGCCACAAAGGCCGGGCCATCAGAGACACATAAGAATTCTAAGGCTCAGAGTCCAGTGGTATAGTGTGATAGGGTATAGAGAGCTGGTGGGTATAGCAAAGCACGGTTCAACTGGGGGACACACCACCAACCTCCAAAGGAGGGAGGTGAGCTGCAGAGAAAGACAGTACCAAGCAAATGAAACCAGTCACTGTGACTCCCTAGGCTCAGTCTGTCCTCCGTTCCACCCAACTACAGAAGCCTGGTCAAAGCATGGAGACCTACCACTGGCACACAGAAGTATCCCTGCAGGCATCTGCAAGTGAGTACACACACACACTGGCAACTAACTGGGGACACAGTAAAGGACTGTCCAGGATAATGAGCCCACCAACCTCCCTGGAGAGGTCCATCATCATACTCTAGTTGGAGGTGAAGTATTGTGGTAGGGAGGAGTCTTGAATTAAGACCTGGTGCCTCTAGTGCAAAATCTCTGAAAGC